ACCCACACACAAACTTTTCCTGTAAAAGATTTAAAAAACAAATCCCAAGACATGGTTTACCTTCTCTCATTGAAGCAAAAGCTAATTTAAAATAGTGTCAGCAGCTGAATATAGCCATAAAATCTGGATGAGATTAGGAAAATTTATTCAGCTGGCTTCAAATGTGGTGGCATTTCTGTGGGTCCCAAGATGATGGGCTTGTGCAGGAAGGTGCAAGCACATGGTGGAGGTACTCTCTCAGTTTTAGAAGAGCCTTGATGGATTAAAGGTTCATATACTCAAACACTAGATAGAGGCTGTCACTCATGTGTACAGTTCTGGAGGCTGGCAGAAGGCAGTGCAAGAAGACTTCTGAATGAGCTCTTTGAAACCTCCAGTGATGGAAGACAAGCTGAAGCAATGCAACAGGGTAGAACCATTATGGCTTGCAAAATCACAAAAAGGCACTTGAAGCTTGAGCTTCAGACTTGGAGTTGGTAGCAATTGCAGGGTATTCAAGCACACAGTGAAAATCTTTTGCCTGGTGTATTTATTCAGAAATCCAAGGTCTCTCTCTCTCTCTCTCTCTCTCTCTCTCTCTCTCTCTCTCTCTCTCTCTCTCTATTTCTCTCTCTCTCTCTGTGTGTGTGTGTTTTTTTTGTTTGTGTTTACTTTCCAGCACATTGATGACTTAAATCTTAAATACCGGACTATAGATGATGGCATCAGGAATTTTTCTGCCCATTTTAGCAAGCCTGGTATGGGCTATCCATGATTTCAATATTAACATTACATATCAAGTTAACTCCTGTTGAGGAAGTCCCAAGGTCATCTGAAACCACACGAACAGCAGTTCTTATTTAGGAGTGGACAAAGTCAAGAATGATGTTTGGATTCTATATACTTTCATTATCAAGAGTCTGTAAAGAAATCTTTAAAACAACAGTTAATTTTTACTATGTAAGGAAAAAATATTAATTTGATTGTGTCAAGTGCTACATGTGGAGGTGTTAGTAAGGAAATACCCAGGGAAAGTAATATTGTTAATTAGCTGCATGAGCGAACTTCAGGCAAATACCAGCAGCACAACAAATGAGGGTTCATTTGATTTAAATTCCTTTAACTACACACGCAAAGAAAACTTTAGAAGGAGAAATAGAATTTAAGGATTCACTTTTGTGTTTAGGACATTTACCTACCTCCAGTTCAATATAATTTGAGAATAAGTTGATGACCAGCAATTGATACACTGCCATATAGAGGAACATTATATATTAATCTAGAGGACATTTAGGTACTCACTTACCAGCTTTACTTCTCTTCTTCAAAGGCCATTTACTTGTGAATGTGTGCTAATAATAAAGGAACTCTGTACAGAATGTAAGAGGGATTTTTAAATATCACATCTAATTTCTTGATTATAGAAAATATTGTCTTGAAGGTTTTCAAGCTGTATGCTTGGAAACAAATTGCCCTTGTTATTTTGAGTACAAGGTAGAGAACAGTAAATTTCCTATCTACCTATTAGAATTTATTACACATTAATTAATTTTATTTAAGAGATTTCTATATATACAACTATGGTAAATTGATTGAGATGATGCCCTTTAAACATTCAAAGTAAAACTGCAACCATTAAAGGAAAGGAATATTGATTTCAGTGACAGATGTTGTGCTGGGTATTTCTTGACAGGACCATATCACATCAAATGTCAAATGTCCAAGACAAGAAGTTAAAAATTAAGGAAGCCTATGTCTTTGCATATTGTATGTTAGCTTATTTACTTCCAAAGGTGCTGCAATTTTCTGTTGCATATTTTTCTTCTTATTGCTGGTCATATTTCCAAACACTCAAAAGAATTTAGTGTCATGAAATTTCAACACTGAGGTGTCTTAAAAGTTATTTTTTCCTTGATAGACTCCTCTGAGTGATAAAGACTCAGCTTATTTACCCATTGATTTTTCTCCCAAGCGATTTTGGTTAATTTAATGGCCTTCAAAACCATGTATTATCTTGCAAAAAAATCTATATTTCCTATATACATTGAAGTGAAATAAGAGATGTCTAATCTTTTTAAGGAGGTATATAGTTCAGTGTTCCTCAGCTAATGAAGAACTACTCAAACCCCAGGGTTTTATTAAAAAAGAACACACAAATCTGTACTTTTTTGTATTCTATGTGTGCATGTGTGTAGGTATGTGCTGAGGCTATGAGAGGGGTCTGGTCACCTGAAACTTAGATTACAGAAGGTGCTGGGAATCGAACTCTGGCCCTCTGAGAGGTCAGTTAGTGCTCTTAACAATGGAACTGCCTCTCCACTCCCCCACTTCTTTCTTAACAAATCTTAAAACTGACACTCTTATGGCATGGATGATCATGTAGGAAAGTCTTTGACTCTCTATTTACTCTAGAAATGTCTTTTTTGCTTATGTACTTGAAAGATCTTGGGTCAGAATTATCTAGACCCTTTAAAGATCAGCCAATAAAATTTCTAATGATGGAACAGAGGCGCAATGTTTACTTTGAAGTCTGAGTAACACAGAAAAGTTTTCCTAATAAATTAGAAGCAATTCTATCCTAGATAAATAAAAACAGGGCATCTCTTAGACATGGTTTGGGTTTATGTCCTTCTGTCCTACAGCCTCTGATTGTAAAGTAGACAGTCTCTGTCTTCAGTAACTATCTCATTGTTAACAGGATAAACGCTTGAAATATAAATATTGCCAATGGTCTTTCTTATAGAGCTAAAAACATTATTAAATATTATTTAGATTTCTGCTCAGATTTGTATGTCCAGTCAGGAATGAGAAGTTTATAGTTTAACCCCCTTATTTCCTTCCTTCCTTCCATCCTTCCTTCCTTCTAACAAACAAAACAATACTACATATGCTAGCTAAAGAGAACCCCTTCCCCCCAAAAAACAAAAAATAACCCTTAGAATTTAATATCTTGGAAATACAGGCACATTGTTTTCACAATTGAATTCTTAATAAGATTTTGTTTGATGTCATCTGACTGCTAATACAGAACACTTCTGTATTATACAACTTATGACTATAAAATCAAATTTTAATAGTATACCATCTTGGGCTTTTCTGAAGTGAAGGGAGCTTTGAAAACTAAATCTCTTTTAAAAAGAAAGCAAAGTGACAAGTGGCAGGGCAAAATGGCATTCCTCTTTTTAGTGAAGTCAGAAAAATATTTTTTTTTAAATTACTGTAGCATCTTTTTCACCAAGTGCAAAAAAGAAATGGTAGTGGGAGGACAACAAAAAGAGAGGTTCTCTTCATTCTTTACCACTTCAAACCCCAAACATCAAACAAAACCAAAACTACTTCCTACCTACCTCTCAAAGTAGCTCCTAACACTTGGGAAGAGTTTCTGTGTAACTAACTGCATAACTTCCAGTACTCTCAGCTGCCTAGCTTTTCAAGGCAATGACCAGCCTGAGTTAGCAACCAGACAGCCTGGTGAAGGAGGAAATAGGGACCTATCACTCAGAGGCAAACTTGGGAAAGTAACTGTTAAAAGTTTCCAAAGGAGGTTTGAAGAGGCAGGACAGTAGAAGCTGATAGAACCAGTTTTATTTTTTTCTGAAGCATTTCTAACTTTTATGCCTAACCCCCTTTCTTTTACTATCTGTCTTTGTGCCTCCAGGGCTAGGGAAAGAGTGGGGCAGATCCGAGATTGCTTTCAGAGTTTGGCTCCTCTGATGATGGATTACCATGTCAATTTAAACGGCATAGGATTAATTTGTTTCAATGATTTCTCTTTAGGCTGAATGCCAGGCGTTTTCTATCTCTCCCCCTTGCTCTTCAAAACAACGAGAGAGAGAGAGAGAGAGAGAGAGAGAGAGAGA